TCTCGTCTATGTATTTCCTTCCCGTCGCTAGAATATACAAGAGGATTAACTACAAAAAGGTTATGAACTCCATGTGAGTCCACGATGCAAAATTCTCCAACCAAATGCCTACTTATTAATCCCGTTGGCTAATCTTCTCAATTCAATGAGTTAATGAATGCCTAATTAATCATGCAAGATCCACGTACGGTACTCTAGCTTAAGCAATTGTTAATCTTATAGTTTATTAATATGTAATGACGAGGGCATCACCTGTTATATATATATATATATATTAAGGAAACAACTTGCTGCCTATTGGTACGTTCCTTGCAGTCTTTTAATGTCCATGCAGATCTGTAAACTGCAGCTACTTGGTGGAAAAGAACAGGGATGTCCTCTCTGGCTTGAACACCAGGCCATCAAAGATTCAGAATTCTATCCATGATTGAACTCCTCGGCTCCTTCATCTCTCCTTGCAAGCTAGCTAGCATGCATTGTGACTGATTAGCTGGGCATTAATATTGGGGAATATTGAGGGAAAAGCCATGCGCCCACCACTCTCCGAAGTTGAAGCTGTGGGCAAAGCGAACACTCTGAGAGTGCTAAATGGCTTTGACTGAATTGAGAGCAGAAAAGAATTACACGATCAGACAGTCTGGCTATGAGTATACTAGGCATCATTGAGGCAGAGAAATATATGTTGGTGCCTTGGTGGGCAATCAATGAGAGTCGTCACTCTCTTTATTTGTCTGCTTTTCTGTGTGACTTTTCTTGCTGGTCAAGGTCACGGTGCTCTACCATCATTGGGATCTCAACTACTTTCATAGACTCTCACACCTTGTAGCCCCAGGCGCCTTATTTCTTGGCCCATGCAACTCTCGACAAGCAAAGCAAAACCGATCCAAATGATATCCACACAGAAAAGAAAAGGTGAGCAAGTTCTAGAGCAATATGTTTTCGAACATCTTTTTGTGTAAAAGTGACTGACATGGGAGCAGAGCTCAAGATGATACCTTGGTATGTATACGGTAGCCAGACAACATGCGTCCATTTTATAAAGCGAAAAGCGAGTGCACTACCCTGACTGGGATTTGCTTAATTTGCTATTGCATCAACTACTGGGAATATCTGTAATCATCAATGGAAAATTAACTTTTATGGCCCTAATTTACAACCTCATTCTTGATTTCTTATCATGTTATCAAGGTTAGGCAGCCGGGACGACAGGGACCTCTTCCTGTTCCTGTTCCTCTTCTTCTTCTTTGACTAGCTGGCTTCCACATAATTATGTTTCTTAACCACTACCTTTTGTATGGAAAAGGTTGATACGCAATATGTATGTATGTATGTATGTATGTATTCTAATTACAAAACATTTATACACATGATTTTAAAAGATAAAATTATGTCATTAAACATTACTCCGCACTAATTAATAATTAAATCATTTATAATCAATAATATGAATTATTTAAGATATCTCTTATGTTTAATTAGAATTGTTTATATCATCTTGAATTATATGCTTATAATTTATTAATTGACTTATATCATATATACTTTGAAAAAGAATGCATCTATAACTATATAACTAACTTACATCATTTATATACACTACCTAGTAATTGATAGAAATATATTATACATAATACCAAAAGACACTAACATATTAATCTTACATATTCATAATTGATAATCATTAATTATTTATATTTTTATTATCATATAATCTCAATAATAAATTAAACTTTAATTATAAAGTAAAATTAGAAATTTAAATTGATTTTTATATGGTCTGCAATACATTATACCATGATGACAATTATCTATATTGAAAAAAAGAGGAATTTTTGTTTTTCATAAAATAAAACTTAGATAAAAAAATAAATAAACGTTAGATTATTAGGTTTGTTTGATAAAGTTCATAATAATTTTATGTGTTTTTAAAAATAATAAAAAGAATTGATTGAGGTATGGGTCAGGTGATAAAACAAACGAGCCATTTATCCTTTTCTATACTCTGATCCAGGTGAAATCAAGTTGGATTTTTCAAGTTGGATTTTTACTATTTCTGCTTTGCCGCATTCAAATCAAGCAAGAACTCAACTCAATTGAGTTGAGTGGAATGTCGGATATTCAATGACTCGTAGTTGAGCAAGGAGCATTCCCAGCCTCACGTTAGCATTGAACTGTTGCCCGTTGGTCTGTCTGATTACTTACACGTCTCCTCTTATTATTCCCCGATCTCGGCTGCTTTATGGTTCTTTCCTTTTTTATGGCTGTCCTTATCGAGCAAACCGCGTGATCATCCACGGAGAGTCTAGCACAGGCAATCTTATCTACCATTGATTCTTACTTGAGATTATTTATAGAGCTTGATTTATTTATTGATAGATATTTCATTTAGCGTTTTATGTTAAATTTTATTTGAATTTATATGTTGAGTTTAATTTAATTATTAGTGGATATTTTATTTAATAAATTATGAGCTTAATAATATCCTATTCTGTTTAAAGTTTTAATATTTATTTATTATTTTTTAAATGTTAGACAGGTTTGATGATCCATTCTCTCTCTTCTTCTGCTCTGCTTTTAAGCTTCTTCTCTTCTCTTGTTTTCAATTCTTGATTTGTCCTGCATCAACAGCCTTCCCCTTTGTTGAAGTTTATAGATAGTCCGAACGCTTTTACGATACTATGAGAGGAAAAGAAAAGGATACATTTTCTATGTGCAGCAGTGAGCAGCTTCTGCTCAGAAAGCAGATATTACAATGCATAGAATATTTTGCTACAAAAATCATAATTACTGAGGATTTATGGCCCTGGGCTTCTTTTATTCTTCTTTGTATAGAAAGTTCACACACAAGACACCTGAACAGCTTTTGGTATAAATAGGCACACAGCTGAAACTCCTTATATCTTAGAGGCATCGGCTGTAACTCGGCTTAAGGCCATGGCAGTCTTTGATCCAGATGGACGACCTAATTGCTTGCAAATGAAATCCCCAGCAGAGAGGAGTTTCGCCAGATCCACATTGGTTCTCACACCAAGCCCATGAAGCATGTAGACAACATCTTCAGTAGCAACATTGCCTGATGCTCCTTTAGCATATGGGCATCCACCTAAACCCGCAACAGACGAGTCCACTACGCTAATCCCCATCTGTTTAAAATGCGAAACAGAGTTGTAGAGACAGATCAGATAGACGACGGAAAAGGAAAAACATAAAGACAAATTTTAAAAAAGTTGTGTTGGATGCAATTATACAAATCCTCGACAGATGGGGATTAGCATTTTAGTCCACTACGCTAATCCTTTTTAGTCAAATGATTATTTGCACAAGCATATTTGCACATATTTAGTTGGCCAGATTAGACTATCTGTTCCATCAAGATGCAACTGTACAGTTGTCCGGTGTAAAGAGTACAACATATCACAAGCAGTCCGATAGTAGGCTTCCCTAAATACAGTGCTGCCACAACAAGGTTCTGAGTGATCCAATGCTTACCTGGAGAGACACCAAAATGTTGGGAAGAGATTGCCCATAAGTATCATGGAAGTGGATAGCAAGCTTCTCAACGGGAACAACAGCCATTACAGCTTCAAGCATGAGAGCAACAGTCCCTGTATCAAATAGATATGAACACAAGGACAGGAAAATAAAAATAAAAAACACGACCAAACTGGGGGACTTAACTGGTCATCTTTTTCTTCCCAGGTGTAGAGCAAGGTCAGACAAATTTTTTTATCACAAGTTCAACAAAATTTTTGAAAAACAAAAAAACATAGTTCAAATATATTGCAATAAAAGTCACTAGGTACACTCTAAGTGATGCGGGAACTGAAATGAAAAGGAGGAACTAATGAGGTTAAACTAGGATATAACAAAGTAAAAACGTTACCAGGTGTACCAACACCGATTGTATCACCAAGAGATATTTCAAAGCAACCCATGTCATGAAGTTCTTTGGCCACATATGCTACTTTTGAAGGATGTATCGATCCTTCCTCAGGACACCCAATAACACATGATACATACCTATCAAAGTTCAAAAACAATTCATTTATTCAGAACTGGATGAAGGCTATAATATTCATCTTTTGTTTTCCACATAAGCTTTAAAATGCAAGTACCTACAGAGACAGTTATGCCTATATACCATAAAATATGCATTAGCACTTAGGTGTACATGTATTCTGCGACATTACTAAACTGGTACAGCACCCGTTCAAATTTTTGGAAGCAACTTATTGTGCCTCGATTGAAAGATCGTGATAACTTATACGAGTTCATGATCATGGAACCTCAAACTTTTTATTGATTAGAATATCAATCATGGTGCTAATAAAACATCCAATAAGAAACAAAAAACTACGCAGCAACCAGCATAATGACTATGGCAGAAAACAAAAACACATCCCAGTGATTGGGATTGAAAAAAGACAAAGGATAACCCTTATATATATATATATATATATATATATTCATGTACACTAAAATTATCTTATCAACTTATTATGACTTCATTTTCTTTGATCAAATTGAGAGCACAAAGATTAGTTCATAATGTACCAGTCAATCAGTAGTTTTCCCATCCACTCTCAATGCAGACAGTACAAATTAACCTCCCAAAAAATCACTAGTAGGGCAGAGAATTCATGGAAAAGGATAGGGACATACCCACGAACAGGAATTGAGAGCTCTTTAGCAGCATGAGTTACAGCACGATAACGAGCAAGACTTTCTTCAATGCTACAATTGATGTTTGACTTTGAAAATGACTCAGAAGCTGATGCAAAAACAGCAACTTCCTTAGCACCAGCTGCAACAGCTGCTTCAAATCCCTAGGAAAAGTCACAGTACATCAGAAGATTACTCCAGGACCAATATGATATTGCCAGAACTCTAGCAGATGTACAAGGGGTACCCACTTTTAAATTAGGTGTCAGAACAGGCAACCTGGAGGCCTCTAAACCATGAACTGCTTCCATTACATCTCTTGCATCTGCTAACTATAAGCAGGCAACAAAACAAGAGGAAAAGAAGGTCAATGAATAACAGGAAGGCAAGAAATATTCAAGTTCAAATTGAATATAAATAAACTATAACCAGACTCAAGAGAGAGAGAGAGAGATCATGGCTTTTGTGCTACAATCAAAGAGCAGAGTCACAAAAAAAAAATTATTTGTTTACTGAAGACAAGGTAGATGTTTCTAGAGGATAATGTTTGTCTTACAACAACAGTGTTGTTAAGAACCATTAATGCGCCCCAACCCCCCCCCCCCCCCCACCCCCCCCTCCATACCCCCCCCCCCCACCAACTCTCCCTTGCCCCTCTCTTTACTCATTGTCTCTCCATCTATTTCCCAATTGTAATTCCACCAGTGATCCATGACTTCGTTTCACAAAGGAGCAATATCGTTTGCAAGGGGACTCTACACTAGATGCTTCACTAACATCACAGAAAGGAAAGGGATATTAACAGAATATGTGAACCTAAAAGAAGACTATCCAAGAATTGGGTTATGCCAATAAACATGAGATAGCCATGCCAATAACCAATGTTGGTGTAGTAAGATTCAGACACAAGTGCATGCTTGCAAAAAGATAATATTATAAACTGAATAATCACAGCTTGCTGATAACAGCCAATTAATTTTTAGTTTATTTTTGCAACGGTAAGTAGACAAAATAACTGGTAAAGACTATGTGCAACTTGGTGGCAGTAAACAAACTAAGGCAATCAAAACCTTTTGGAGTCTGGTACAAAAACAAAGGTAAAGCTTTCATCACACCTTAAAAGAAAGATCAAAACTTGAAGAAGCTGGTTGATGCCAGCAATTCGCACAAGTATTTTCCTTATTATATAATCTATATGACTGCTTATATTCAACTTATTTTTTACGTAGACAAATACTCTATGCTTATTACAGATTGATCAATATACACCACATGAATCTGCTTCAATTGCACTATAAAACATTGACAAATAAGATAAACTTGAAGTTACAATCAAAACCTAATCAAATTACCTGAGGTACCCATTTGGGCGAAACAAAACTTGTGGCCTCAACAACTGGCAAACCAGAAGATACTAGTCTATGAATCAATTCAACCTTTACATCTGTAGGGACAATATTTTTCTCGTTTTGCAGTCCATCTCTTGGACCTACTTCCACAATCTTCACAAACTTTGGTATACCTTTCAAGAACTGCTTTTCCAAATAAAAGATAAAAAATCATGATTACAAGTTACAGGAAATTTAAATGGTGGACCATCAGACAAATGCAACAGCCTAAAAAAATAAACAAGTGAACTTTATCTATTTTACCAACAATAATGACTACAATCGTTTAAGGTCAAGATATATAACAAAATTACAGTTCTGTTTCAGATATGAAATCACCTTATTTGTAATACCCCGTATGTCTTTGTCATTGGATTTGGAACTATATTGATGATCTGGAAAATAGCGTGAATCACAACTACTTCCAGACACCATATTTTTGCTGCCTGAGCTCACACTCCTTCGATTTCCTTGGCATGAATCTCTTGTATGTCTTTTCCAAGGAAAAGTCTCTCTTGTATATTCATAATCTTCCCTGCAAAGTGCAAACAACGTTGACCTTTTTAATGAAATTATGTGAGAAAAATTACTTCAAGGGTAGCTTAATAAAGTAGAAAATTCACTTTTCTCTATTTTCAGTACCACCCAACGCAGAATCTAGTTTTTAGTTCGTGACATCATTATTGTAATAAAGTAGAAAACTGAGCATCGAATGGAAACTATCAAAGAGGCCTTATATTTTGAGAAAATGCCTAATCTAGGGGCAGGAAAAATTGGCATTGCTGCTACCCATCTTCCTTCCAGACACTATAATAAAACCCCCGCATTGTGTGATTATAAAAAAGGTAATCGTTCTTCCACATCCACAGGATCTTGTGCTAATACAAAGTTTAATCATGGATTAGCACTTACTCGCAACTGTTGGATGAGCTGCAAGTCCTTCCCTCAATCCAGCAATGTCCCATTCCCATATCATCAGCCCGGGGTCGGCAAGCACCAGATGAGAACCTTTGAATTCGCTCAATAGTATTCATGCTAGGCAACTTGTCAAAACCAAGCGGCTCTTCTAGACTCGACATTGCTGAAATAGATGCAAATGGAGGAGGAGCTGCAATTCAGGCACAGAACAGCTCAGTACTCTTCAATAAAACCTTATTAACTAGATAGTTAAATTTTGGAATAATCAAAGGCAGGAAGAACAGACAGGACATCACCATTGAAATCCAACAACAGCTAACACAATGTTTTAGCGCTGGATTCACCAACATAAAGTTATAAAATTATCTTCAGATAAGTTCATCAAAAACCATAAAAAAGTTGTATATTGTTAATGCAATAGAAAATTCCAAACAGTTAGTTGAATTGTTCTTCTATGTCAATGTGAATAATTCACAACTGCCTCAGTAAAATGCACCAGAAAAACTTCAAATTCTTGGCAAGCAATACAAATAACACTGGTTCAAAAGATTAAGCAAAGCATTCAAAACTTCAAGAAAACATCATCTTAATTAAAAGCAAACTATGCTTGATAAACCAAAATAATTCAATCAATCAAAAGCTGGAAAACAAATTGAACATCAACTCTTCCGTAAAAATCCAAACTTTCTTAGCAAGAAACCACGAACAGTGTTTATTTTCTTTAAAAAAAAAACAGATACCATTAAAAATTCACGTTTGCTTCTGTTTCAGTTCCTTCGGTGAGGAAAATAAACCAAAATGGAGTCAAATTGACCAAACAAGACAGAATTGGATTCCTATCAAAGCTTCAATTTTTTTTCCTTTCCTCGAGTTTCTTGGAAACCAAACAGAAGGTATGCAGAGCCAAACAATAAAACAGAGAAAGAAAGAAAGCAGACCTGAATTACAGAGAGAAATTGGAAAGGAAAAAAGCCCAGGGTTTCTGAGAAGACAGGGAAACCCTAAAATTTGGGAATTAGAAGCGATTGTAATAAGTTTTTTTTTTTTTTTCCCGGGAATGCAGGAAGGTTAGATGGCAGAGAAGAAGTTAAACACAACCACGTGAAGGAGTTGTTTACTAACCTTCTAGTTCTCTTTCTTCGTTAACTTTTGTTTGGTGGGAAATAAAAGAAAAAATATAAATATATAAATATATATATATTTCTGGTAAAGAAGTATATAAAAAAATTAATAATAAAAAAAGGGGGAATTTGCTTAGAGTGAACTCCTCCACCACTGAAAGCAACAATAAAATAAAAATATAAAAATAAGAAAAATAGAAGAAAAAGACCTGATACCCAACAAAAAACCACCTCCACCCACCCTCTCTTTCTCTCGTTTTCAAATATCTCTGTAACCCATAACAAAAGAAAAAAAAAAGAAGAGGAGGAGGAAAATCAATTTAATTATATATATATATATCATTCAAACATTACACTGATTTAATTATTGGAGCATGATTTTGTAGATAACTCCCATTTCTCTAGTCTAGTTTTATCCGCAAAGACAACCTAGGTCTAAATGAAGTTTTTCTGAGATTCATCGCTATTCGGCATCATAGAGACTAGTTAGCATGTGTATCACATTATTTTTATATTTTGAAATTATTCATCTATAAAAAAAAATAAAAATAAAATGATTTGGTGATAGTAAGTTTGTTTATATCCGCAAGGCACCGTCGATGTAAAGGGCACAGGAGTTCAGATCCCTTCGTTCGGAAAGATGTCAGAATAGCTATTTGATAATGACCATCTTAATTCACAAGCTCCCTTCTCCTTCCCTCTTAAATGAGTCCTCTGTTTTGAAAGAGGTCAAAGCAACTTACTTGATAATGACCATTTTAATCCATTGATCTCCTCCTCTTGCTTTAGTAAGGGTGTGTTCCTTATTAATATAGTCGGCTTTCAAAATAATTTTAGGTTAGAAATATATTAAAATAATTTATAAATATATATAATTTTTAATATTATCATATTAAAATTATAAAAAAATTAATTTAATACCTGTAGAGTTAAAAACACTCGAAAGCAAAAATAAAAATATTTCTATAACACATATATATATATATATATATATAATATTGTGATAATAATTATTTTTTAAAATAATTTTTTTTATGTTTGTAACGATCTTAATATTGTGATAATAATTATTTTTTAAAATAATTTTTTTTATGTTTGTAAACATTTATTTAAAAAAATAAAAAAAACTTTTGTTTATTATCAAATAAAAAAAAAGCATTAATTATAACTGTTAGGTAGAAGCAGGCAGGGCAGTGTTTGGGGGGCGTTACAGCCGCAGCTTTCTCACACAGCTGCCAGCAGCCCACCAAACCGTAATTAATTTGGGCATTTAAATATTCACCGCCGGAACAAGAATTACAAGTCCCAGTGTGGACGGAGAGGTGATGACCACATTTTACACGCACACGTTGCTCGAGCTTCTAGAACTTCTAACATTCTAGTACCTGTCCTCAGTCTTTGTCGTCGAGTGGCGGCCAACTGGCATGCGAGAGGAGTAGCTCAATTTCTTTTTTACGTGCATCTCCGAGGATGAAATATATGAAAAGTTAAAAATAAAAATAAAAATTTAATTTTCAGGCTTATTTCATACGTTTTAAGAAGAATAGTAAGTAAAATGTCAAAATATTATTTATCTTACAAAAATATTATCCCTTCCTTTATATTTTGAGAAAAAGTTAAAACTATACAAAATACTATTAATGTTTTATTTTACTATTTTTTCTTTGATTTTTTTAAATAAATATTCTTTTATTTTATATAAAATTATCTTAATTTTATAATTCATATAATAAGTTCAACAAGTTAATTTAAATTAATTTTTAATTAATTTTTTTAATTTTATTATTTAATGCTAAGTTAATTAAGAATAATTCAAATTGTTTTTAAACATGTTAAATTCTTATCATATTGTTAAAAAATTTGTGTATTGAATATATTAAAATATAATTAATTCTTTTAAATAACTTTTTATTATTTAAATATCTACAAATATATACACACACTTCAAAAATCAATATTACACTTTTCTAATTAGCACATCTCTCCTCGAATGAATGTTTTAAGTGTTCAAATTACTGATAAATAGTATAAATCGAGGAGAATAAAGAAACAAAGGAAAAAATCTAGGTTCATGAAATGGAAAACACCACGTTTGCGAGCAGAAATGATATGGGTGTCCTCACATTCCTACTCTTTAGAGGCCAGGGCGTAGGAGGTTACCATCCTCGAATGCTCAAGGGCCTCGGGCATGAATGTACTGCGGTCGTTGAAGAAATGAACAGAATGATTGGTATTTGATGGTGAGAGGCTTGTATGGCAGATAAACAAAATTGCTATGTTTCTACGCATAAGAAGATTGATAAAAAATGAAGAAAAGCACCCATTAATTGATGAAATTACTCGGAGATAAGAACGATAGGGTTAACTGCCAAATCTAGCCTTAAAATGGAAGGGACGATGACATGCAAAAACACAAGACTCCATGAAAGTGATGATCAACTAGACTGCAAGCAAAGTGTTGATTTGTACTTCCTATAACATGACTTTTGAGAACGTCATCGATTCAAAGTAACATCTAGAAAGCGTTCCCAAACAAGATTGCATGCCTGTTTTAAAAAAATTAATTTTTATATTTAAAATTAATTTTTGTTTTTTATTTTATTTTAATGGGTTAGTATTAAAAATGAATTTTAAAAAACAAAAAAGAATTATTGACACATATCTCGCACGACATAGATGATTATTCGATAAAATCATGTGATAAAATCCTTAAAAAGTAGATCCGAGGGGGGAGAAGTAGATTTGAGTTGGTGGACTTCTCATTTGCTAAAATCCTTGAAGGGGTGTCCTCGTCTTGTTTTTCCTATGATTATTTTTGTGAACATGAGCTTCTTCATCAATTACTTACATGTCGGTGGAATATAAAAGGATATCTTTTCAAGATAGACCTTAAAAGCATGTTCATTCATTATAATTAAATACTTTTTTTAATAAGAATATTGGAAAATTATTTATTGTCTTCCAATTACCTCCCTATACTGCTATATGATCCAGAGAATGGTCTCCCTTGAGTCCTTGTCACCCGAGGATCAGGAAAACAGAAGTTTCCAAGATGTATAAAGGCCAGAATCAGTGGAAAACACTCTTTTAGCCCAGTTATCTTTTGGCCCTCCATGACCAACATGTTTCTGGGTATCAAGCCCAACAAAAGTAGAAAAATTAAGATTAAAAACGCAAAATAAAAAGGGACAGCAGAGAGCCATCGAAAACCCTTGTCATTCTCCGTCGAAAAAAACCGTTGTTATTATTTGGGAAAAACAAAAAAAATGAATAGAGAAGAAAAGGAAGAAGAAGAAGACATAGTTTGCCTAGACGAGTCCTTCTTCATCAATGACAAGTAAACAACTGCTACTCTATCTTTAGCTCACCCCCCCTCTAAAGTTTTGTTCTGTCTCTTATATATCATGTATAATTTATTTTATGTGCAGTTACCAGTTGACCACATTCACATTCGGTTCTCAAGTTATTGAGCTCCTTTGTCTTCATTCTGCTTCAAGTGAGTTCCTTTTTCAATAAATTTGATGCAAAATAAACACAACCCACGTCTCTTTTTTCATTTGTTCTGATGCCTGATATTTTATTTATTTTTTGTTTAAAATGTTTGTATGCTTGTCTGTGACCCAAAGGTTTGAATTTAGTTAATATTTGTATTGAAAGACCTCATTTTTAAAGTTCAATAAGTCCATTTTACTGGTTGCAACTTGGACTGATGTTATCTGGTTGCTATCTGTCAGTTGCTTTTGGTTTTTTTCGCTAAACCCCTTAAACTAAATCATCCATCTTGAAAGAAGCGGATTCCTAGTAAGGACTTGCTAGTTTTCTATTTGATTTTATCAGTCTGTTAACGGTCAGTTGGTTCTTTTAAATGGGGCCAAGATGGAAAGGAAAAGGTGCAGAAAGAAAAGCTCTCGCAGATCCCATGGCATTGATAGTTTACCAGCTTCAATCTTCTCTTATTCAATCAAATTCTGGCAGGTTGCTCTCTGGATGTGCTGTGCTTCTTGCGGTCTATGCAAAAAAGACTGAACTTTTTGATTGTGCATGTTTTGGAAGACCCCTTATTACTGCTGAGAAGGGTAATCATTGGTTTCAATTGGGTTTTGAGGAAGCATTTTAGTTGGGCTGTTGTTTAAATTGCCTCAAGATTGTTGGTGAAGATAATTATGTGAAAAATGAGTTATTTCCCTGATTCTTGCAAGGCATACTCTCATTTTCGGATATAAAATTGGGCTGTGAGGTCAGGATCCTGGTATGGCGCAGACTTTGTCACCTATCATCATCACCATCTCTGCCTGTGATTGTTTTATCAGAAGGAGATGGTGACATGAATTGGAGATTGAGGGGTGGTCTGATTTTCATTGCGCGCTGAGACTTTGTAGAAGTGTTGCAAAGGCATTATTAGTTCTCATCACCAATAAAAATGGTCATGGAACTGTCTTTTCATCTTGTTTGGAGAGATACTCCATCGAGGAATATGCAATCACAAGATGGAGTCAGCAAATAACAATCAGAAAGCTTCTGAAAATGGAAGCACAAGTCCTATGGAGCAAGTTCTATAAGGACCCTCCATGAGGCTAATGATTTTGCTCTTTATGGGAGAAGAATCGCTCGGCTTTGAAGGTTGTAAGAGAAAGGTCAGTAGTCTTTGCATGCCCATGAAGGATGCATGGTTTGTTACATGATTAGAGCTGGCACCAAGAAGGAATGAATTGTGCACTCAAATCCCTCTTCAGAGTTTTAGTGTGATATTGGGAAATGTTAATTACTTATTTTTTTGTCACCTTGACATATTGACCAGTATGGGATTATCTTACAATTCAGACCAAGTTTTTGCTGACTTTTGTGAAACTGCTTTATTTATCTTCAAATTCTCTATGCTTTCCTGATCACTTTCATACAGCAGGTAATTCCGTATGCCATGTAGTTTTTGCATGTCAACAAACCAATTTGTTATGATTGTGCACATATATATGCTTAGACACTGATGAATTCAAGAAATGTTCACTTTTATTTCTGCTGGGGTTTTTGCTCAAATTTCAAATGAGAAGTTCCTAAAATTTTACACTTAACTATTTGCGAGGCAGCTGATTTTGATTTGACTGGGCAACTTGTATGGCCTGGTGCCCTGCTTTTGAATGATTATCTTGCAAAAAATGCTGAGATGCTTCAAGGATGTTCTATTATTGAGCTGGGCTCTGGTGCAGGTGAGTGATAAGTCTAAGCTATTTTTTCTTTCCTTCTTTTTTCTTTTTTTAAATTCCTATTTGTGCTTCATAATTTACTAATTCCGGGAAACCAAATTATTGCAAACAAGTTGAATCTGTATTCTTGTTTTAAATCAAAGTATTGCTAACAAGACAGGAGCTATGCCTCTTGTTGATTTTCTAGACAAATCAAATTGAGAGAGGCTTTGCAATTAATTGATAGATTGACCATTACTGCATTTTCTTTATTAGGGAAATAAATCTACTTCTAGTATTCAAAGAACTGTTTCTCTATAGTTGCATCACACAAACAATCCTTTTTAGACATTCCCCTTTGTCTAATTTTTTTTTGCTTTCTATAAATTCTATTTTTCCCTAAATTAAAAAATTTAGTTTTGAAAACCCCATTTCTGTTTCTTATCTAATTGTGATGTGATTGACTTCTTGTGAACTGCAGGAGTAACTGGAATACTCTGCAGCAGATTTTGCCCTCAACTTCTGTTAACTGACCACAATGATGAAGTGCTTAAGGCAAGGTTGCAGGATTAATATAGAATGTTAAACTATAGAAGTTTATTTATCTAATGTTGTATTGTGATGATGTATATTGTTTATCCATTTGCAGATCCTGAAGAAAAATATAGAGCTCTGTGCATCTTCTGAGAATCCAAATTGTTGTGCTGGTAAAAGGGGAAAGCAAAAAACGCAAAAGGTGGGCAGATTTTCATTTTCAGACACTGACATCTTTCTTCTACATGCAGAGCTTGCAGCTGAGAAGCTAGAGTGGGGAAATTCTGATCATATTGATCAGATTTTACAAAGATATTCAAGGGGATTTGATCTGATTCTTGGAGCTGACATCTATATCCTTGTTGCTTTTCTCTACCGTTTTCTAGAAAAATAGCAATCAGTTTTAAAAAACTAGCCTGTTCAACTGTTGACGATTTAAAAAGGGATTGGATGGACATCATTATGCCTTCAGTCAAACATCTGATTTGCATGTTAACATGGTGCTATCTCAGCCTATATGGTATCACTATGTTGTGAATTCTCTTTTGTTATTGATGCTTAATTTGGCATGGGCAATGTGACCAGCACTGAATTTATTAGTAGTTACTGTGGTGCATCTTCACATGTGTAGCATGAGTCTTATGGATGGTTCCTCAATGAGGCCAAAGTATTGAACGAGACAAATCATATTAATTACCAATGTAGCTGGTTAAATAGTTTTTTTCCCCTTCTTCCATGTAATCTGCTGTGAGTTATATATTCAAAAGGAAATCCCTTGACAACATGTAAGCTTTCAGCAGTCAAGCGTTCCTTTGCTTTTTGATACGGTGGAACAACTACTTCATGTTCGGGGAGGAAAATGCAAATTCATACTGGCTTACGTATCCCGAGCTAAGACGCAAGTATCAATTTGTGGAAGTTGCTATATTTTCTGGATTTTCTTGCCTTATAAATAATGTTCTTTTTACTATTGGATTGTGTTGTTGAGAAAATACAAATCACTTGGAAGAATTTCATGCTATGAAGCATAAACCAATGTTTCCTATATTATCTTTTGAGCAGTTAATTCGAATATGCCCAACAAGAGTAATGTTTTTATTTTGTTGTCGGCATTTTTACGTGAGTTCTATCTTATGTCATGGAGTTTCTTATATTGTCTGCTTCTAACTTGCTCAATGTAGCATATACCTCTCCCTAGGTTGTTCAAGAGTTACTAATTATCATTATATGCCAGGGCTTTTCTTTGCAATGCATATTGTTATGATCATATTTATATGGCTGCTTTTTTCTTTCTGTGCAGCATGGATTCATTGATTATGAAACAAGCTGCTGAGCATGGAATGAGGATGGTTGAGGTTACTGGGACTCGTTCTGTGGTTGGGAATCTTGAAGGAGTCATATTTGAGGTTGCCCTACAATAAAATCATCAAACATGTTCAGTTGCGAACTTGAAAGTCTGAGGGACAATGCAAGGCTGGGAATACTTGGAGAATCTTGTCTGCGCATAGCAAATGACAAAAATAATGACAATGAGCTGTATGAATCTTAAACTGAAAACCTCTTAGGCAAAGCTAGGTGTGCACGTTTCCTCTGTAATGCACTGTCTTCAGAATCAGGATTCATCCTGGATGTTTTACTTTGTTTTTGAAAGCTCATATTGAATCAAACTAATGTTAGACAGCGATGGGGGAGGATGTAATTTGTACTGCTGTTTATCGAGGCTAATAATGGTGCAATATTCTGTGTCCTTGCTGATCATTTTGAAATTTGATTTCCATGATGCCATTGAAGGAAGATATTTCCTGGATGGATCATCTGCGATTCAGCTCTTAATAGCTACGAGGTCCAAAAATCATGCCCTCCATTCGTATCCGTGGCTCTACAACGTGTTGTTTTATGTTTTCTATCCTGATTAAAACACCAATTATAAACTCTTAACTATCATGTTTGGATTTTGTGTTATAATAGAAAATAAAGACTGTCAAATTTTTCTGTGTTATAAGAGAAAATATGGACACTTATGCCAAATTTAATGTTTTCAGATACTTCCAACTTTTGCAGCGCGTGTGCCCGACCGAAATTTATGATTTTATGGTCAAAATCAAAGGAGGTCCGTAACTCGTGCATGCGGTACTCATTGACGAAAAACCATCCAATTTCATCATCTCTCGTCATAGAAAGCTTTGCTTTCACAAAATGAGCGTAATTCCCACCAGAGACCAGAAAATGAAAAACTGGGCTCTGTATCTGTGATATGGCATCATTTCGCAATTGATAAATATCATTCAATGGAGTTCCAATATATAATTTCGCCATCAAATTCTATAGATAAAAACGGCAAAAATGCAATGAATTGCCACAGGGATCACTCATAGAGAAGAAGAATAACATTTTTTTTTCATTTTCAATCTTCGATTTTCCATTATTCTAACCCATAGGATGTATGACTCCGGAAAAGAATGGTCATTCCAGTCTTCAAGAATAGTATTTATCAGATGTCTTCAAGAATCCTGTCGCTTTTATGTTTCTTCGGACTTCTGGATTTGAGAATTTGACAGGCGAAATTCTTTAAGCTGCTTCAACCATCTGTCTTCACATCACGCAACTTGTTTTACCATTCTCTTCCAAATGGTTATATGCAGCAGGGAATAAAGCTGCACCTGCTGATGGAAGTGAGCGGCCACACAATTAGCCACTTTTACGGCAATTCATCAGAAGATGAGTTCTTCAACTTCATGCGTTTTCCATATGCAGCAATGAGTAAAGCCTCAGCTCTTCCTGCAAATATGAGATGATGTGAAATAAGTCCTAATTAAGCAAAGGAGGTCTAGCACAAGTTCAAAAAAAAAGAGTCATTTTTCTCTGACTGATAGCAGTAATTGAGGCTTCTTTAACAAGTAAAATGATAGCAATAACTGCATGGGGGTATGCTAGTGATATAAAAGGAAGCTTCTTTAACAAGGAGCATTTTGTTGTTTTGGCACAACAGACAACTAAAAGAGCATCGCAGGCTTGTTGATGGGATCCATGAAATGGTAATATATTTCAGAAGAAATCTACCATGATCCTTTTTCCTTTCTAGTAAGGGACTCAATGATGGAAATAATGTTGATGCGATTCTTCGGCTATCATCCTGTCAAAATCCAGCATTCAAGTAAAACAAACTATCAGACCTGACATAAAACATGAAAGCTGGTAAGAACAAGCAAGAAAAACCACATCCTTCCATATAGTGGCTGAGGCCAGAAATTAAATAAGCCTAGCATTTTTTCTTTTTTCACTTAAAAAGACAACTCCATGGCCAGGTTTGCATTATAATTTTACTCTCAGGAAATCTCCTGGAAGATTATAAGAAAAGTTCTGCATAAAATTTTGTAACCACCTTAGATAAATTAGGAAAAGAATTACTACAGCGTGAATTAAAAAATACTAAAACCTTGGTACACCTGCACCTTAGATAAGTTAGGAAAAGAATTACTACAGCGTGAATTAAAAAAACACACAGACCTTAGCACACCTGCCTCCGGCAAGTTCAAGATCACTCTTCCATGTCATAGATGGTACTGGAACTACAGAGAACCCTGAGGCAACTAACACCCCTATCCATAATCCATAACCAAATCCTCCACTCCACCATCCCTTCATTTAAGAACAAGAAAATATTTCAGTATTCGATCCTTCCTCATTCCTTATCATTTTCTTTTCAGGGTTATGCCAAACCAGGTAAACATTGCTAATGATGTTATCTCAGAGATGCAGTTACACTGAGCAGAACAAAGTTTTGTAAGCAGAAAGAAAGAAACAGATGTCATTTAATAAAGAATACCAAGCTCCAAACATATCTAAGGAGTCATACTAACCTGTTTCCCATCTTGTGGGAATGGGGTTGATTGTTCTACATATGCAGTAGTTCCTGAAATAAGGGAAGTGTGGTTTGTCCAACTTTCTCAATGATGGAAAAAAAAAAAGTAGAAAAAAGTAACTAAGACACATGAACATCAGAACCACATATAAATAATACCAAATTTGGGTATACTGGAAAAGGAATTTTTATAAAAAGGTTGGTTATGCTCCCACCAAAGGGGCATGTAGGGACATTAAATTGCAACAACTACAATATCTAATTGATCTGTAGTTTTAGTTCCATAGATCATAAATTCAAACCGGTATTTCATGTGTAAATAATTTATGTTAATTCTTTATATTAACTCATGATTTTAATTCGAAAATTTCAGATAAAATCATGGCAACTATCATTTTATGATTTATTCATTAAGTTTCTAAGGAAACAGTGCCTTTAAAAGTCTCACGTTCGCCCTTTGTCCCAAAATCAACCACATCGCACAACTTGGATTTTTCAGATCAAGTTCTGTAAGGCCCTTTCCCTTAATTAAATATTCAGTTTCTGTACAGCAGTCAAGAGATAGGAATTAAGTCCACCTAGCCAAGGCCATTAAAATAAAAAATAATCTAACAGCTGAAAAGTATTGTGAAATATAAAAACTCAACTCAACTAAGACTCAATATCAAACAAATCACAACTCAACTCAACTCAATTAGATAGACATTAATAATCTCGAACCGGTTGCAGTCGGCTACGATGTTAGAAACATGAAATGTTCATATTGACAACAACATCAAGATGACAAAAACAATTATGGAGTATTGCCTCATTGCACCAAATAACAATTCCAACAAAAATTTAACAATTTTTTGGAAAAAAAACTAGTCACGTACCAATTGGAGCATCAAAACTACGAATCAATTGAACGATAGACTTAACATCTAATCGCTTCCGAATTCCTTTTCCAACCATTACTTTCAAGTGAGGGGAATCAAACACCTACCAAACAAACCATCAATTAACACAAGACGTTATTATTATCCAAAGAAAATGTCAAACAAACGTCTCAGCCCAAATTATTATCCAAAGCAAGTGTCAAGAATCATCTCGAACCATAAACTTAGGCTATTATATGAGGCCCGCCTAAACATTATTATTATCCAAGGGCAGTGTCAACAAAACTTGAGCTATTACGTGAGATGATTTATATTATTCTCTGACACATAACTTCAAAAAATATATTCACCAAATTTCTTCAAAGCAACATTCTGTGTCAAAAACCAAAATGGATCATCAAAGAAAAAAGAAATTACCTGAGCAGAGCAACCTGACTCATCGATTTTCAATAGTGCCAAAGCACCGGAAACATCAGGGTCAACACCAATAACCCAATTGGAACCCGCATTATTCCGGGTCAAATCATCTCCGCCCAAATTTGTAGTCTCAGTCTCAGTCTCGTTAGGTAAAGGAAAAGTGAGAGAGTCTAACCAATTCTGTTTAAGTTGGGCAGCATCGGCTACTTTTTCCCTAACCTTTACTCTGTTTCTTGAAAGTACGGTCTTTTTTAGAGGAAGAGGGGTTGAAGAGTTTGTAGTGCAGAAGGGTTTCGGGGTGGATAAAAAAGGGTTCAAGGGTTTGATGACGAGTTTTAAAAAGCGTGTGTTCATGAATTTGGGTTTTAGAGATTGCAGGTTTCGTGGTCTAATCTGGAGGGTTTCCATGCGATTGAATGGTCTGAGAGCAAGAAATTTGTGGAGTAAACGGAAGAGGCAGGTAAGTCTGAATGTTATAGGTTCATTGTTGGATCCACTTTTTTTCCAACACCGCCCTGACCTGAGCCTCGAGGCTAGGGTCACTTTGGTTTAGAGGTTGGACTGTAACTGTAGCTTTATCTGCAATGGAGGTGATGGAGAGAGACCAGATTTGTTGGCTTTTTTTGTTGGAAAAAAATTGAAAAGAAAAAACCCACCTTATCTTTCGTGCCGCGTTGTTCTTTATTTTTATTTTTTATATTTTAAAAATATTTTTTTTAAAAATTAAATTTTTTTATTTTTTTATTTATTTTAAATTAATAAATTTTTAATATTTTTAAATTGTTTTGATACTTTAATATTAAAAATAATTTTTTTTAAATAAAAAAAGTATTCACATATATTTTTAATATAAAAAATTATTTAAAAAATAATTACAACAATATTCTCAAATAAACTACTTCCAATCTCAGCAAATAGTAATTAATAAAGAAAAACAATATTAAACAATGAGAATATTTTTCTATTTATAAAGAATATTAAATTTAATGGGTAAATAATCTTGAATAACAAACTAGACTAAATAATAATACAATTTTTTCCTGAATAGATTTTTTTTTCTCGATAAACAATTACTATGTTAAACGATTTGTGTTGTTTTTGTTCGTACCAATCGGAAAAGTTGGGTTGTGTTTAAAGTTGTTTTTTAGAGTATTTTTTTTAATTTTTCAAAATTTATTTTTAATAGTATATTAAAACAATAAAAAAAATAAAAATTCTTAAAAACATGATTGTCCTTCTTACGAGAATCTGGGATAGCAATCAAAGGACCAGCCGAAGCTCAAATATGGGTTGAAAAAAAAGGGAAGAGCTGGAATTTGATTTTAATTCCAATTTCCAGTAAGCAATGTATCTTAAAAAAAAAAAAAATCTCTACATGATACATCTTTATTACGTCAAAGTCATGAGACAGTATCTACTTTAGATTTTGGAAGAGCTTTCCTTCTCCCTTAGAAAATGGATGGTGAAGGTCTGATTGATGAAAACAGTACACTCATGCACAAATATAACTTTAACCCTTTAGTCTTATCAACTCATTCAGTCAATTATACATGAATTTGCTCATCTATTGTTTGTATTTGAGAGAAAAATGCTCTGTGCTTGCATGATTTGGATTCTTATTTCTAGAACCATATGTGATTTCTGACCCATAGCAGAACTAATCGTGAACTGTGACCATCTTCTAGTTTAATTAGCTGTACACTTTTTGCCAGAAAATTGTCACGAGCCTGTTGTTGACCAGCCCATCTGGGACTCAAAACTTCATTGTCTTTCAACCCTCGAGCCACATTTTAGCCCGTGACTATAAAGACTAGGCATATTGATCTGTTAGGGAGAGGCATTAAGACAAATCATGAAGAAGCACATTTTGTCATGTAATACTAGAAAAACGTCGAGATTAGGTATAATCTAGTAGATGACGGAGGATATATAGTGTAAGAAACTCGGAATGATGCCCTTCTCATTCTGCAAACTATAATATTCCAATCCTGCATCATGCGGTCATGCATGGATGTGGTAGAAGTTGACAGGACTGTAGAGACAGTCACCGAGATTTTCTCTTATACGTTCAAAATCTTTGGAGGATAATTTGGAAGCTAGAGGAGGCCCAGCCCTTCATATGCATATGCAACAGTAGCGTCTGCCCTCTTTCTGGAGCAAAACTCTCCTCACTCTCTCATTTTCAAGAAGCCCGCCCTTGTTAAAAAGGAATTATTTCTTTGGCATATCCAAGGCAAGGCCTCTATACTGCCCACACAAACCATGGCGCTTGAAATCTCAAATGATTGTTTCTTTACGAGTGCACCCACAAGTCCACGAGGGTTCAACCTAGACAACAATATCTGTTTCTATAGAGCACCTAGCTACTAGTCCTACCAAAGGGACGTCCGATGTTACATATGATCTTGAATCCAAGCTCACCACACAAAATATATGAAGATGCAAATCCCAGAATGGATGACTTTGAATTCGGAAACAGTCGATGTTTCAACATCGATGATATTCACTCGGGAGACAGTATGATATTTGACGACGCAATGGAAGAGCAACATAAGCACCGAAGACAACAAAAGGAATCATTTCCTGCCATGGCATTTGCGGATGAGTTATTTTGTCATGGTAAGGTCATGCCACTAAAACCTCCGCCATGTCACCAGTAACCCTACTAACGGAAAATTTGGTAGTCACAGCTCAACTCCGACATCCCCCGAGCCCCAAATAGCTAAAATTAAAATTTCATTTCCACAACGGAATGTGTGGAACGATGATTTAGATCCATTCATGGCAGCTTTGAAGACTGTCAAGGGAGAAAGGAAGAGAAAAATGGCAGAAAATCAACCATAGACGGGCTCGGTCCATGTCGCCTCTACGAGCCAGCAGTGACTTGATGGGCCGTATTTTTCACCCGTGCGCACGATCGGGTCCTACCAGGCCGATTCTGTATAATCAAGAGAAGCCGGATGGGTTGCCTCCTCGCATATGGATTCCAACTGTAACTAAAGCAGGAAGCCCAAAAAGGCTAGCTGAGCCGAGAAGAGTTCTGTTTGCAAGAAAGCAAGAGGTAAGAGAGAAAGCCCAATAAGACAACTCTAGCAGGAGACAATGCCGAAGAAAGTGGAGAGCCTTGTGAGAGAGAAAGCAAGAGGCAGAGGATGAAAAACTTTCTTCACGGGAGTTTATCTTTGAGGAGAAGTGATGAACATAAGAAGAAGCAAACAGAACAAACTTTGGAAGTTTCAAATCAGAAAATTAAGCATCCAGTCTGTGGGGTTAGTGGCACACAATGAGGAGAAAGGAGTGTGTAAAATAACCAAAGGTAACACCAACACATTATACGCCAAAGCTGTCTTTGTGCACGGGTTATGAGGCAAAATCTGCGGAGTGAAAAACCCATTTTGTTTTCTGTGGATACTATTTTAGAAGGTTATCCCATTGTGTTTATGGAGATTATGGTGTTAAATTCGATGTATGAATTACCTTTTTTCCTCTTCCTATTGTTTGTTTATCATAATTAAAACTTATTGCTTTACTGGCTTCTTTAATGGAATAATGGACATGCAGACGTTTTGGAAATTGGTTTTTTATTTTTCTTTTTCCCCTTTCAAGAGCTGTAGTTGTCTTATTTCTCGCTCATGATCACATTGAAATTGTACATTCGTTTTCATCTCTCTGGTTATGTGATACTAGACACCGTTCCATGACTGAGAACAGCACAGGAACCACAAGATAATCCCAGAAAAGATCTGTATGATCAATGTTGGTTCTGCAAGGATTCGAGCTCTAATATTGAGCTTATGAGAACTTTAATTGAAATTTTTATATACCACTTCGTAAATGTTTACATAATTTGCAGGATCACATGAAATGGCCGCCTCGAAAAAAGCATGGAGAGACTAGAAACACGATGGATAATGGCGACCGCATTCATGGAGCTAAATTACAAGTCCTATTTTCTTCTTTTATATTACGGTTTTAGCAAGTAAGAAATTCATTTTTGGATGAAATGGAGGCTTCTATATTTTAAACTCGGGTAGTCCGTCGTGGAACGTTCGTGTTGCAAATAAATGCCTATTCCAATACCTCAGTCGGCCAAAGCCTCTTCCACCTGGAAATTTCTTCATTCTTATATAGCTTTCTAATCCCTCCATAAAATCCATCTGCCTCATTCCCCTCCTCCCGGTGCTCCTTCCTGTTGACCGTAGTGCTTCTCCACCGTGAGCCGGGAGTGTACTGGTGGAACTCCAACACTACAGTGTCTGCTTGCAGAAATTTTATGTTAGTTAGGGACTAAAACGATTATAAGCAAACCAAAATTCAACTAGTATGCAGTAGCATTTTGCCTCAGTTGCCTGTGTTTAGTATTATGGTAATTTTTATAATTTCAATTTTAAAAAAATATTTTTAATTATAATTTTAAATAAATAAGTTTTAAAAAATAAGTTTTCTTAAAACTATTTCAAAATGAATTTTTGCTTGCAAAATAAATAAAAAAACAGGTCTTCATAAATTAAAAAAAAAAGGTTAAATTAGCTTCTACAAAACCAAAGTTTGAAATGTAATTATATATGGAGTCCAATGCAAAAGGCAAAAACTATTTGACTAACTAAATAATTTTTTTATGTGATTGGGTAAAAAAAAGGTATCATGATACCAAACATATTATATACGACTTCATCAAAAAAACATCAGATTGTTCATTTGTATGCACGCATGCATGCTTTTTTTCTCTTAGTGACTGGTGATACAAAATTTGGAGTCAAAATCATAATTTATGCACTTAAAAAAAAGGAATGGACCACAAAAAAAGGGGAACATAATTGACATCATTTCTCAAAAAAGACCACTAATTACTAGATTCCTCATGATAGCTAAGTAACCAAAATCAGGCATTTCATTAGCATGCATGCATGACCTATACAACGCTGGGAACAATTTTGGCTTTTGCAATCACAGATTGAAAACCTATCATCAGTTAACAGAGGGCTAGAACACTAGGAGCTTCAACATTTGTCAATCGTCAAAACAACTGGATAAGAGTTCTATATCCAATGTAAACTTAGACTTCACATTTGTTTAACAAAAACTGTATTTTTTGCAGTACAAATAGAGACATAAACAATTTTTTTTTATCAAAGTTGCAACTAGCAGGCCAAAAGCAGTTTCTTTTTGGTGATGTAACTTGACTAGCGGATCATCAAGTAGTGTATTTAACTTCAAGACAACAAAGTCCATTAAGCTAGCAAAGAGATCAGAAGATTGAATGAAAGATTGAAAGCTTACAATGGGAAATTTATTGCAGCCCCAGCTAGTCGTTCGTATTTAACAAACAAAGGGAAGCCTATAAAAAAGACATTAAGTTCTTGCTATGTGGTTGGCCATAAGTATTCCACTAGACAGAGGTTATGAAAATATTGGTGGAAGCTGTGACATTTTGATAGGGAATATTCCACTAGACAGAGGTTATGAAAATGTTGGTGGAAGCTGTGACATTTTGATAGGGATTTGTCGTTTGGGACCAATCAAATAGTATAACTTAGTGGTCCATAGACTGAAAAATTGAATTCAAGAAAAGGACTTGCCCAAGACCCAAAAACAGGGTCCAATCAGTGAAAGTAAACTTTATATTAATCTCTTACATATTTTAAAAGGAAAG